CGCGCGTTCTGTCCGCGTACTTCGTCTTCCGTGGCGGATCGTCAGCGCGTCCTCGCGCCGCTTTCGCCGCTCCTCGAGGTCGTCGTCCGTGGCCCCCCCGTAGGAGGATGCAAGGCCCGGAGGCCCGCGGCGGCGCGGTGGCGGACGACGTTCAGCAGCAAAGCCCCGAGCAACCCGAGCGCGAGCCAGCGGATCGCCGTCTCCCGCGGGAGCCCGCGCGTCGCGCCGGCGACGGCGTCGTCGTCGCCGAAGTCGCCGCCGGCGCTCCGGCGCGCGGCGGCGACGGCGGCGGCGAGGGGCGCCGCGCGCGCGGCGACCTCGAGGGCCAGCGCGACGTCGAGCGCCGCCGCGGGGGTCGTGAGGAACGACGCGAGCGCGAGCGAGCAGCCGCAGGGCTCGCGGCAGCAGACGCCGCAGAGCGCCAGGCCGCCGTTGGCGAGCTCCAGCAGGCCCGCGACGGCCAGGGCGAGCGTCGCGGCGCCGAGCTCCGTCGTCGGCGCGAGCGCCGCCGCCGCGCCCGACGACTTGAGCTCGACGGCGACGCCGACGAAGACGCCGCCGAGCACGCAGAGCGCGACGGACGTCGCGAAGACGACGAGCGACAGGGCGGCGCGCCCCGCGCTCTGGCACCAGGCGGCGCAGCAGCGGCACTCGCAGCCGCTCGACGACCGCGGGTAGTCGCGCTGGAGCACGCGCCGCGGCGCCGCGAACTCGTCGTCGTCGCCGTCGATGAGGCTGTCGTCCTCGTAGACCTCGAGGTAGGTCTCGTCGCGCGGCATCGCTATGGTTTACGGCGGGGACGCGGGCACCGAGGTCGCGGTCATGATCGATGGGCAGCCCTCATCAGCGCCAACAGCAACAAGGGTCAATGAGAGGTTCAAGACAGACCTTGACGCGATCCACGTCGCTTATGTAAGCGCGCAACAGGATCGCACAATGAGCCGTGCCATCCTCGCCATCGCGGCGTGCACCGTCGCGTGCGCCCATGCGCTCGAGCCGTTGAAACCGGCGATCAAACCCTGGCAGCGCGCCACGCCCAACGCGCTGACGGCCGCGCGCCTCGCCGCGGCGCCCGTCGTCGCCGCGGCGCTCGCGACGCCCGGCGGTGCGCCGAACGTCGCCGCCGGCGCCTTCGCGGTGGCGAGCGTGAGCGACGGCCTCGACGGCTACCTCGCGCGGCGCTGGCGCTGCGAGAGCGCGCTCGGCGCGTTCCTCGACCCCGTCGCCGACAAGGTGCTCGTGTCGGCGACGCTCGTCATGCTCTCGGCGCGGTTCGGCGTCGACGTCGCGGTGCCCGCGGCGGTCATCGTCTGCCGCGAGGTCGGCGTCTCGGCGCTGCGCGAGTGGATGGCGGCGCGCGGCGCGCGCGACGCCGTCGCCGTCGGCTTCAGCGGGAAACTGAAGACCGCGTGCCAGATGGCCGCGCTCTTCCTGCTGACCTGGGCCCGGCCGCCGTCCCTCGCCTACCGCTCGGGCGTCGCGCTCCTCGACCTGTCGGCCCTCCTCGCCGTCTACTCCGGCGCCGTGCTCGCGAGGCGCGGCGCGCGCGCGCTCGGAAGCCCCGCCGCCGCGCCGGCCGCCGGCCGCGTCGCGCCGACGGTCGGGCGCGCGCTCGAGGCCGTCAAGGCCAACGCCCTCGACCCCGTGGCGCCGGTCGTCGCACCACCCGTCAAGAAGGCCAGCGCCCTCAGCTTCTTCCGGAGGCAGCGCAAGAGCGTCGAGGCCGAGCTCGAGGCGGAGGCGGCCGTGGCCGCGCTCCCGACCATGGCCCCGCGCGTCGAACAGGCCGCGCGGGACGCCGCGTGGCTCGCCGCCACGGGCACGAGCCTCAAGGGGCTCAACAGCGTCGTGCCGCCGCTCGGCCGCCGCGTCGCCGTCGCGCTCGACGGGAAGGTCGTGGACAAGCCCGCGATCGTCGTCCCCCCCCTCGGGAAGTAAGGTCCCCCCGAGTCGCTTTAGAACGCGAGCCAGGGCGGGCAGGGCCGCATGCGGCGGAGCGTCGCCGGGTCCGCCTTGTTGTAGCGCGCGGAGACGACGCGGATGTTCGGGAACAGCTTTTCCTTGGCGTCGGCCGTGAACGCCTGGTAGAGCGCGAAGAGGCCCCGCTGGCGGATGTCGTTGTTCTGCAGGCACAGCTCCTCGAGGGTCTCGAAGCCGCCCGCGAGCGCCGTCGACGCGACCTTGCACGCGCCGTCGTTCGCGAGCAGGTTCGCGCGGAGGTCGAGCACGCGGAGCTTGACGCCGCCGAGCGCGAGCGCGGCCACGAGCTCGTCGACGGCCGACGGCGTCAGGTAGTTGGCGCGGAGGTCCAGGTGGCTCAGGTTCGGCGAGCACTTGCGCTTGAAGCCCTCGGCGAGCGCCGCGACGCCGCGGAGCTGGATCTTGTTCCACGCGAGATCGAGCGACGCGAGGCGCGGGCACGCGCCGGCGATGAGCTCCTTGACGAGCTGCTTCGCGCCCGTGGGGCCGAGCTTCTCGCCCTTCATCGTCGTGACGTTGCGGAAGCGCCGGAGCTCGACGGTGAAGAACGGCACATTTTTCTTCTTCCGGTCGCCCGCCGCGTCCTTCGTGACCATGTAGTCCATGTTCTCCCGCAGGTCCTCCTTCGCGGGCGCCCGCTTCGCGTCGTCCTTCTTCGCGGGGTCGGGGTGCGCGGCGTCCGCGCCGGGCCGCACGCGCAGCGTCAGCGCCGCGTCCGTCTCCCGGGCGACGCCGGGCTCCTCGGCCTCGGGCGCGTTGACGCCGGCGATGGTGCCCGCGACGCGCATGTACTTTAGAGTCTCCTGCGTGAGCCGCTCGTCGGCGACGCGGCTCGCCTCCGCCGCGACGGCCTTGGCCTCGCGCGCCTCGGCCGCGAGCCGCGCCGCCTCCTTGGCGGCTTTTTCCGTCGCGAGGCGCGCGGCCTCGGCGCGCTCGCGCTTCTCCTCGACGCCCCGCTGCAGGTCCCAGCGCTCGAAGAGGCGCATGCGCTGCGTCGTGTTGTCCAGCTCCTTCTGGCGCTGGACGCACATCTTCTGGTACCGCGCCCAGTCGTTCGACTGCACGGACAGCAGGAACTCCTTCACCTGCTGGTCCTTGTCGTACTTCTCCCGCGCCTTGATCTTGTTGTACTCGGCGATCTCCTCGCGCTCCTTGGCCAGGTAGTTGGCCTTGGCCTGCTCCTTGGCCAGGAGCTTCTCGTAGTAGACCAGGGTCGGGTGGCGCCGCGCCTTGCGCTTCCGCGCGCGCCACATCTCGATCTTCTCGCGGTAGGTCAGGCGCGTCTTCAGCGGCGCGAGCGTCGACGCGGCGCCGGCGAGCTCCTTCGTCTCCTCCCCGTCGGACTTCTCCTCGTCGTCGCCGTCCGCGTCGTCCGCGTAGTCCGCGTAGTCGCTCTCGTCGCTCTCGTCGCTGCTGTCGTCGTCGCTGCTGCTGTCGCTGTAGTCGCTCCCGTAGTCGCTGTCGCTCTCGCCCTCGAGCTCGCGCCGCCGGTCGTCGATGTGCTTCTTCTCCTTGGCCGCCACGCCCTGGCCCGCGCGGAAGTCCTGGTGCCGCCCCTCCTTCTCGATGTCCCGCAGGAACGGCACCGGCGTCGCCATGGCCGCGAGCGCCATGCTCGAGGCGCCTCGGGCAGGCGGCGCTCGACCTCGGCGGCGCGGAGGCGCTCGACCTCGACGGCGCGGAGGCGCTCGACCGCGGCGGCGCGGAGGCGCTCGACCTCGGCGGCGCGGAGGCGGTCGACCTCGACGCGGAGTCGTCGGTAGCGCCGTCGAAAGCGGGCTGCCTATTGGCTGGCTGGCTCCCCTGGCTCGCAAGTTGGCTCGCCGCGCGCCGCGACGCCCGTCGCCGCGCCTGCTGGCGTGGGAGCCCTCGGGCTCGCCGGGCGCGGGCTCGCGACGCCCGCGTCCCGGAGGCGACGCAGATTCCGCGAGCAGATTCCGCGCTCCTTAGGACCCCGCACGCGCCGGCGGGGGCCCTACTTCTTCGCGGCGTCCCAGAGCTGCTCGCGGATGGTCGGGAGGAGCTCGTCGTAGACGAGGGCGACGCGCGCGTCGAGCGTGTTGTCGCAGACGATGCGGCCGTGGCAGGCCGTGAGCATGACGCCGCCGCAGCACTTGTGGTCCGGGAGCATCTTCTTCGGGTCGGCGTTGACCTTGACCTTGGGCTTGACGACCTGGCCCGTCGCGGCCTTGATGGTCTCGGCGTAGAGGGCCGCGGCCTCGGCGACGACGGACTCGCAGATCTTCACGTCCGCGGCGCGGCAGCGGACCTCGACGTCGTCCTCCTCGATCTTGATCAACCCCTGGACGACGAGCTTCTTCACGAGCTCCGGGTAGGCCGGCGTCTGGACGACGCCGGCGACGGACTCCTTCGCCGTCGTCACGAGCTTCGTGAGGAGGTCGTCGCGCAGCTTCATCTTCGTCACGCGCGCGTCGCCGACGGCCGTCGACCGCGCGATGCGCTCCGAGACCTCGCGCTCGCGGTCCTTCTGCTTGTAGTCCTCGGCGATGGCGAGCTTGGCGTTGTGGACGAGCATCTGCTTCTCGATGTTGAAGTCGTGCTCCGTCTTGATGCGGATCTCGTTGGCCTTCTCGTGGGCCTCCTGGAGGATGAAGTTCACCATCTGCCGGATCTGGTTCGTCCCGCCCGACATGGTGGCGGCCCGGAGAGCGCCGGCGCGTCGAGGCGCCGCGCGGATCGACTCGAAGCAAGCCCCGGGGGCGGCGGTTGTGTACGCGCCCGAGCTGCGGTCGACGACGGCGACACACTCGCAGCCACCGGAGAGGCGAGAAAGCCGACCGTGCCGATTTTCCACTGCCGATGGAGCAGCTCGACGCCTCGACCCTGGCCCGCTGGGCCGCCGAGCCGGCGCTCTACGAGACCCCGGGCAAGCTCGAAACCGCAAACGACGACTGGCAGCGCGGCGTCCTGCGGTTGTCGGCGTCCGGCGTCGTCTTCTGCGACGACGGCCGGGCCGCGCGCGGCATGGCCCTCGACAGCGTCGTGCGCGTGACCGTCGGCGAGCGGAAGCGGTTCCTGAAGAAGGCGCGGCTCACCGTCGAGCTCCAGGGCGCCGCGGGCACCTGCGCCTTCGACGCGCGCGACGCGTTCCGCCGCGACGCGTTCGCCAAAGCCTGCGAGCGCGCGCTCGTCGCCGCGCGGCGGCGGACCGCGAGCGGCTTCACGACGCAGACCGCGGGCATCGCGGGCCTCGCGAGGAAGCGGCGCGCGAAGCGCGACGAGGCCGGCGCCCTGGCGGCGGAGACGCGCGACGACGTCCGCGCGCTCATGGCGGAGGCGTCGGCCGTCGTCTCGATGCTGAAAAAGTACCAGGCGCGCGCGGACCGCGCGTCGGGCGACGACGCCGCCCTCGGCGCCGCGCGGCAGCTCGGCGCCATGCGCGTCGCCGACGACGACGCCGCGGCCGTCGACGCGGGCGACGGGAAGTTGCTGGCGGACGCCGCGGCCGCGTTCGCCTCAAAACTCCTCGGCGCCGGCGCCGCGAAGAGCGTGACGCTCACGGACCTCTGGTGCCGCTTCAACCGCGCGCGGGGCGCCTCGGGCCTCGTGTCGCCCGAGGACTTCGCCGACGCCTGCGGCCGCTACCTCGACCGCCGGTCGCCCGACTTCTCGCGCGACGCGCCCGCGACGCTCCGCGTCTTCCGCAGCGGCGTCAAGGTCGTCGCCCTCGCCGACGACGATACGCGGGCCCGCGTCGTCGCCCACGCCGCGGGCGGCGCGACGGCCATGGGGCTCGCGGTCGCGCTCGCGGTCCCGCCCGCGCTCGCGGCGGAGCTGCTCGCGGACGCGGAGCACGACGGCGCGCTCTGCCGCGACAAGTCGAGCGCCGGGCTGGCCTTCTACCCCAACGCGTTCGCGACGCGGGGGGTGGCTGCTTAGGGTTTTGGGGTTTTGTTGATATCCCCATGGGATCCCGAGGTGCGGGCGCAGGACGGGGAGGCCTTCGCAGAGGGGGCCGACCACCAGGCATACACCAGCCACGGCATACACCAGCATAGCAGCCGCATAGCAGCCGCATAGCAGACGCATAGCGGGCGCATAGCGGGCGCATAGCGGGCGCATAGCAGGCGCATAGCAGGCGCATAGCAGGCGCATAGCAGGCGCATACCACCAGCATAGCAGGCGCATAAGACCAGCATAGCAGCCGCATACCACCAGCATAGCAGGCGCATAAGACCAGCATAGCAGCCCACCAGCATACCACCAGCATAGCAGGCGCATACCACCAGCATAGCAGCCGCATACCACCGGCATAGCAGACGCATACCACCGGCATAGCAGACGCATACCACCCGCATACCACCCGCATACCACCAGCATACCACCCGCATACCACCCGCATACCACCCGCATACCACCCGCATAACACCCGCATAAAGCCCGCATAAAGCCCGCATAGCGGGCGCATACTACCAGGCATACCGGCGGTCAACCCCCTCGGGGCCTTCGATCGGGGCAGCAACATCATGATTTTGCGGGCGACAACAATTGGGCGACAAAAGCATTCCTCGTGTGTTCCGAATCATAAGCGATGGCAGCCCCCATGACTTCTTCCCTCCTCTTGGCGCTGGCGTGCTCGCCGACGGCGGCGGCCAAGCTGCTGCGCGGGTCGGTCGCGGCGGCGAACGGGACCGTGCCGCAGCTGCCGGCGGCGAACTACGCGGGCATCGGCTACGACATCCTCCAGGGGAATCCGCTCGCCGACGGGCTCGACAAGGGCTACCGGGCGGCCGTGCTCGACGCGGCGAGCTTCGCGCAGGGGCTCAAGACGCCGGACGGCAAGTGGGCGATCCCGGACAACACCGAGGCCGTCATGGCGTCGGCGTGCGACATCCAGAGCGGCGGCTCGCAGCGGCTCGTCACGGGCGAGACGTCGCTGGGGACGACGTCGCAGAACGACGTGAGCGTCGGCGGCGAGGCGTGGAAGGTCGTGGCGTTCAAGGCGTCCGCCGGCTTCAAGAAGACGACGAGCGACGTGACGGCGAGCTCGGACGACACGGTGGTCTTCTACAGCCGGGGCACGATCGAGCTCTACAAGCTCAACGTCGAGACCGCGCTGGCGACGCCGTCGCCGAACTTCGCCGCGGCCGTCGGCGCGCTGCCGACCGACGCGGACGGGCGCATCAAGAGCACCTTCGCGGCCGGCGCGGGCTTCGAGTACTGCCTCGGCGTCGACGCGGCGACGGCCTACGACGACCAGGGCACGGGCCTGATCTACCTCGCGTGCGACCAGGCGGACCCGAAGGCGATCCAGTGGCAGCTCGTCGACGGCCGCCTCATCAACGGCCTGAACGGGTTCTGCCTCGAGCAGAACGTCGAGGCGCCGTGGGCGTCGGGCGGCGCGCGCGCCGACGCGTGGAACTGCGACGCGGCGGACTCGGTCGGCGACGAGCGGACGCGGTGGACGATGGACGGGTCGGCGCTCAAGAGCGCCCAGTCGGGCTACTGCCTCGAGGTCAACCCGGGCCTCAGCCGCGTCTACCCGGACGCGTGGAAGTGCGCCGACGTCGCAAAGATGGCCGACAAGCGCGCGAGTTGGACCGTGACGGACGCGGCGGCCTTTTCGACGACGGGGTCGACGCTCGTCACGGGCTGGGAGGGCTGGTGCCTCTACGGGGCCGAGGCCTTCGACGGCAAGAACGGCGCGGCCGTCGCCGTCGCGCCGTGCGACCGCGCCGACGTCGCGGCGTCCGCGTCCTGGAAGCGGGTCGGCACGAGCATCGTCAACGTGAAGAGCGGGTATTGCCTCGAGATCAATCCGTCCGACGCGTACAACCAGCCCGACGGCTTCGCGCTCGACACGTGGGACTGCGGCGCGGCGACGTCGGAGAACGACAACCGGACGTCTTGGACGGTCGCGGGCGACGGGACGGTCGTCAGCGGCTACGCAAAGGCGGCCGCGTCGTTGTGCCTCGAGGTGAACCCCTATCTTTCCGAGATCAAGCCGGACCTCTGGGACTGCGCGGCCGCGTCGCGCTTCGGCGACGGCCGCGCGGCGCACGACCTCTCGAGCCTCGGGAAAGGCGGCGACGTCATGCGCGCCTACGACGCGCTCGTCGAGACGTTCGGGACGCACTACGTGTCGTCGACGACGCTCGGCGCCAAGTACGGCCTCCTGCAGGAGGCGACGTCGGACAGCGCGTCCCACTTCCAGGGCCAGGGCCACACGTGGTCCGCGGGCGCCCAGGCGTCGTTCAAGGGCGTCACCGTCGGCGCGGACCACATGTCGTCCGACGAACAAGCCCTCAGCGACGCCTGGACGGCGTCGCTCAAGTCGTCGTCGTCGTTCTTCGTCGGCTCGGACCCCGTCGCGGCGATGCAGAACGACCTCGACGGCTGGAAGGCGAAGATCGCCACGAACCCGATGCCCGTCGGCGGCGCGGTGCTGCCGATTCTGGACCTGCTCACGGCGGCCCACTTCCCCAAGGACACGCAGATCTCGAACAAGCGGACGCTGCTCGCCAAGGCGCTCGGGGCGTGGTGCGCGACCGTCGACGCGTCGAAGGAGGCGTGCGCCGCTTACGCGGCGGACCGCGGCTCGGACCTCACGTCCTGCCCCGAGGACGCGAGCGGAAACGAGTGCAGCGGCCACGGATCGTGCATGAGCGATAATACGTGCGCGTGCGATCCCAACTACGGGGGCACGGCGTGCGACGCCAAGTGCGGCAGCGTGACGTTCTACGGCTCCGACGTCGACAGCTACGGCTGCGGCGCGGAGAACGGGTCCGTTTCGCAGTGCACGCAGCTCTCCGCCGACGTCGTCTGCACGAAGCTCGACTGGGAATTTGGGGGGGCTACCGAGTGGCACGACGCCGAGGCCGACCACTGCATCACACCAATTGAGGGCCCGAAACAATGCAACAAGAAAGACTGCAGCGGGTGGGACTCCTTTTGGGGTTGCAACTCCTGGGACTGCCACGCCTTCACCAGCATCACCTGCGCCTACCCGTCGACATGCTCTTCGGCCTAGGAGACGGATTCCTGGCGGACGCGGAGCACGACGGCGCGCTCTGCCGCGACAAGTCGAGCGCCGGGCTGGCCTTCTACCCCAACGCGTTCGCGACGCGGGGATTGGTTGCTTAGGCTTAAATCCATACTCTACGGGTAGCGAGGGCCCGATTAGGCCCGAGTAGGGCCTCTTCGGCAACTGCGATGAAGTTCATGATGCCGTTTTGTGACGTCGTATGTTGCACAACCTTCCGGCTTCGGCTCCAACAGATTTGCAATTCTCGACCGTGCCGCACCGCGTCCAAGTTTGCCCGCATTGCGCCTATCACCTTCCCGCACCCCTCGACGCCCACTGCACCTCTGGGGAAAAAATCGCAGTCGCAAACGACGCCGAACCGCTTCCGCGCGAACAAAAGTTCGCCGCTTGGCCGGTCGCGCGCGCGAGAGACCCGCAACGTTGGCGCGCGCCACGCACTGCACGGACACCGCGCACGGCGCCTGGCGCGGACGCCCGCGCCGACGCGCCACCCGGACCGCGCGCGCGCGGCCGCCGAACGCGGTCCCGACCCCGACGCCTTCGCCGCCGAACGCGGTCCCGACCCCGACGCCTTCGCAGGCACCGTTTCAACCATGAAGACTTCTGCGCTCCTCGTCGCCCTGGTCTACGGCTCGGAAGCCCTCAAGCCGAAGGCGGACGTCGGCGTGGCGACGACGTTTCAAGGAATATTTCGAGGTGACGGCCCCTCGAAATCCGTCGGCGAGGCGTTGAAGCGCCTCAAGGCAGTACCTCGAGGAGGAGCAGTCGGTGTTCTGGAGGGGGAGCTCGGATCAGAATACGGATTCCTGGAGGAAGAGGAGGAAGAAGAACCGCCGGTCGCGCCGAAGAAAAAGTTCTTCTTCTTCTAAGAAGAAGACAGCTCGCGCGCATCGCCCCCCCCACACCTCTCCCCTCGCTCGCATTCCATCGTTCTAAAACCTAGACCGACGATCGGCTCACGACTGCCCAGGCTCCTCCGGGCAAGGTCACGGCGAGTGCCCGAAATACTTGGGCGCGTAAGGAGGAGGACTTCAGCTCATGTTCCAGTAGGCCGCGTACACGGAGGCGCCGAAGGCCGGCTCTTTCTTGAGGCCCGCGAAGTAGTGGAAGTCCATGTAGCCGGGCCCTTGCCAGTTGCGCGCCTCGTGCTTCTCGATGGCGTCGAAGAGGTCGCGGACCGTGAACGAGCGGCCGTCGGGCGCCGCGCACGTCGCGTCGGCGTTGCACCAGCCCTTGAGCGTGATCTCGGGCTCCTCGAGGACGACGAGGTCGTCGAGCATCGCCGCCGAGAACTTGGCCTTCCCCGTCTCGCGGCGAAGCGTGAGCGTGTAGTCCGCGATGCGGCACCCCGTGCACACGGTGTGCTCGCCGTCGTCTTGGCGGATGCCCGACGATCCGTCGAAGACCACCTCGCGGAGCCACTCGAGGCCCGCGGCCGACGGGGACCCGTCGCGGTCGCCGCCGAAGACGCGCGCCCGGACGTTCTCGTCCGTGAGCGCGTCGGTGTCGAGCCCGTAGTCGAAGTGCGGGAACGCTTCGATCTGGTTGAACTCTTTCAGGGAGAGGCGACGCGGCCGCAGCGTCTTGGACGAGAACGGCGAGACCGGCGTGGAACTCGCGGGGCGGAGCGGCTTCCCGGACGGCATCGCTGCGGGCTTCTTCGCTTTCACCGATTGCTTGGGCGCCGACTTGTTGGGCGCCGACTTCTTGGGCGCCGACGTCTTGGCCGACTTGGGCGCCTTTGGCCGAAGCGGGCTTCTTCTTCGCCGCCTTCACCTTGGGCACCTCCTTCTTCGCTCTCGCCATCACCCGAAGCCGCTGTGGCACCCCTCCAGATGGTGAAGAATCGCCGAAGCGGAGGTGTACGGCGCGGAGGGCCTTACCTAAGCTAAAAAGTTACGCCACAAACTCCACGTCCTCGAGGATCTTGGCGAGCATGGCGGCGTGGGCGACGAGGCTCTCGTGCTGCTTCGGGTGGAGCGGGGCCGTGACCGCGCGGGGGCTGTCGTTCGCGTCGCGCCGCGCGGCGTCGAGCGCGATGGCCGCGTCGAAGAGGTCCTTGGACGTCCGGAGCCGCTCGATGAGGGCCGCCGCCGCCGCCGCCGTCGCGCCGCGGTCCGCCGGCGCGCCGTCGGGCGCGGCGACGCGGACGCGGAGGCACGCGGGGTTCCGCGCGCACACCGCGACGACGCCCGGGAGCACCTGGGCAGGAAAAGAGTGATCCAACGTCGCTTCAACGTGAGTGTTCCGCGCGCGCGCGTTTCGGAAACAGCACCCACGCTTCGAGAACGCTCCGAGGGATGATCGGTCGTCCAAAAATCAGCCGAAACGAGTGGAAAACGACCGAGATCGGAGCCTTTGAAGTTGGGAACTTCGCGCCCTTTCTTGCCCTGGGCAGCACGCCCCGGGGGAAGCCGTGGGCGTCGAGGCGCGCCTCGTACTCCTCGGACGAGTCCGGGAAGCCCACGTTCGGGTCGACGTTCGCGACGGCGTCGGCGAGGCGCAGCACCGCGCCCGCGGCGCGGACCAAAACGACGTCCGCCAAAGCCGCGACGTAGAGAGCGACCTCCGGGTGGTGCGCGTCGGCCTTGGCCAGCGACGCCTCGGCGTCCTCCCACAGACCCAGGTCGAGCTCGACGACGGACCGCGAGTTGTAGAGCGACGCCGCGAGGTGCGCGT